CAGGAAGCTGGATCAGAGGCAGAGTGGGCTCTAACCAGGCCCTCCCCAGGAAGGGATGTGGACACCCCTGGTGGGGCCTTGGCCACCGTGCCGCCATGATCACCCCATCAGGGTGGGTCTGGGACTGAGCCCGTGCAGGCCTGTACGGCCTGTGGGCAGCTCAACCAGTGCCCTAACACTCAGCCCTTGGAATTGTTTTCTGAGTAGGCAGAAAGGAGCTTGCTCATGGGAGTGTGTCCAGTTCCGTGTGTTGTGTGCGTCATGCTGGAGAGAATGTCAGTCTGTGGGGAGCCATGGCTGTCGTCCCGGGGGCTGCGGTCCAGGTGGGCAGCAAGGCAGAGGAAGCTGAGTGGCGCTCCTTGGCCCTGTCTGCCGTGGCTTGGTTGACAGAGGGGGTCTCTGCCGTCGTTTCCTGGTCAGAGTCACTCCACAGAAGCACAGGTGCCGTGCGCAGGGACTGTGCGGTTCCTGGAGGCGTCTGACTCCAGGTTCACAAGACCCCGAGGCGAGATCTTTGCCTCCGTCCTCGGGCCGTGTGACAAGCACGACAGTTTCTACACTGGGGTCCTTTGAAGAAACGGGACAGAGCGGGCGCTCCTGTGGTGGACGTTACCTGGAAAGGGTCATTTATCCGGCACTGGGAGGCATGGGAGGTGTTGGGTGGTTATTCTCAGCACATCGGTCAGTTGACTGGACTTGCTTTGTTGTAAGAGATGCCACTAAATTTAGTTTTCCTTTATTGAATTTGGAAGTGACTGTGTTTCCCTCTCCAAGTGCCCACAGCAGCCAGGGCGGAGCTGGGCTGGAGCTGCAGCCCCGCCTCCCAGGGTCTGCGTCAGCAGGAAGCTGGAACTGGGCGTCGAGCCAGAACTCAGACCCAGACTCTGGTGTGGAGCGCAGGTGTTACCGGGGGGGGGGGGGGGGGTCTTTTTTTTTTTTTTTTTAAGGTTTATTTATTTGAAAGGCAGAGTTACAGAGGGCAGAGGCCAAGCGAGGTCTTCCATCTGCTGGTTTACTCCTCAAATGGCTGCAGTGGCCAGAGCTGGGAGGATCTGAAGCCAGGAGCTTCTTCCGGATCTCCCATGTGGGTGCAGGGCCCAAGGACTTGGGCCATCTTCCCCTGCTTTCCCAGGCCACAACAGAGAGCTGGATCAGAAGTGGAGCAGCTGGGACTTGAACCGGCACCCAAGTTGGATGCTGACACTGCAGGCAGCGACTTCACCCGCTACGCCACAGTGCTAGCCCATCAGGGGTGTCTTAACCGCTTCACCAAACACCCACCCCTGTATGCCTGCATTTCTGTGACATGTTGTCCCGTGCCCCGCTGCATGGACTCCATAACCTGATCATGATAGCAGGGCTGTCTCATGCAGGCCTACCCGGTGCTGCCCTCTTGGGGCCGTGTATCCCAGCGTCTCCCAGACCCTGGACACCACTGTGTGCTCTCCGTTTGCCATTTTGAGAATTTTGTGTAAGCGGAGCCCTACACAGTGTCAATTCTGGGGCCTGCCCTTTCCACTCAGCAGATGAACCTCAGAGCCGCACAAGGTGGGCCGGGCATGTTACCCTGCAGGCCAGGGCTTGCTGAGGGGAACCCAGGCGAGAACCTGGCCCAGGGTCTTGCTGGTTGGAGGCCTCTGGAAGGTACTGGGGGCGGGGAGAGGGAGGCTGGAAGGGGAATGTTGGAGTCACTTGGCTGTGTGTGCAGGTGAGGGTTCCGGGTCGCGGCCTGCATGCTGCCACCTGGCAGTGGCACAGATGGGAGAACGGAAGCTGGAGTCTGGGCCCGAGGTGTCGGACGTTGGGTGTGAGTCCTTCAAGGGGCTGGGCGAAGCCCCGGGAGACGGGCCAGAGGGAGTGTGGTGTTTCGGGCACTGAGGAGGAGGTGGGCGCTGTCCTGGCTGTGGAGCCCAGTCTTCCAGGGGCTCCTTGCTGTGAAGCTCAAGGAGGGAACTGAGTGCGGCGTGAGCCCCTGCATCTGTGACGTGGGGGGACACGTGTGGCGTGAGCTCCTGCATCTGTGACGTGGGGGGGCACGTGTGGCGTGAGCCCCTACATCTGTGATGTGGGGGGACATGTGCGGCGTGAGCTCCTGCATCTGTGACGTGGGGGGGCACGTGTGGCCTGAGCTCCTGCATCTGTGACGTGGGGGGGGCACGTGTGGCGTGAGCTCCTACATCTGTGACGTGGGGGGACACATGCGGCGTGAGCTCCTACATCTGTGACGTGGGGGGACACGTGTGGCGTGAGCTCCTACATCTGTGACGTGGGGGGGGCACGTGTGGCGTGAGCCCCTGCATCTGTGACGTGGGGGGACACGTGTGGCGTGAGCCCCTACATCTGTGACGTGGGGGGGCACGTGTGGCGTGAGCCCCTACATCTGTGACGTGGAGGGACACGTGCGGCGTGAGCTCCTGCATCTGTGACGTGGGGGGACACGTGTGGTGTGAGCCCCTACATCTGTGACGTGGGGGGACATGTGTGGCGTGAGCCCCTGCATCTGTGACGTGGGGGGACATGTGTGGCGTGAGCCCCTGCATCTGTGACGTGGGGGGACATGTGTGGCGTGAGCCCTGCCTCCTGTGACGTGGGGGGACACGTGCGGTGTGAGCCCTGCCTCCTGTGACGTGGGGGGGGGGGGCACGTGCGGGGTGAGCCCTGGTTCCTGTGAAGGGGGGGGGGGGGACCCGGGGGGGGGGAGCCCTGGTTCCCCGGGGGGGGGGGGGGGCCCGGGGGGGAAGGGCCCCGGTTCCTCGGGAAATGGGGGGGAAAAGGGGGGGGGGAGACCCGGTTCCTGGGAACGGGGGGGGACAAGTGGGGGGGGAGCCCTGGGTTCCTTGAAGGGGGGGGGGGGGGACCGGGGGGGGGAACCCCCCTTTCCTTGATAGGGGGGGGAAAAAGGGGGGGGGAACCCTTCCTTCCTTTAAAGGGGGGGGGGGGGAAAAAGGGGGGTTAAACCCTTTTTTCCCGAAGGGGGGGGGGAAAAGAATGGATTAAACTTTGGCTCCCCGAGGAAGGGGGGGAAACCGAGGCGGTGGGCCCTTTCCCCTGGAAAGGGGGGGGAAAACGGGGGAGGGTGCGCTACTCCTAATGAAAGGGGTGGGGGGGAATCCTGTTTAGATCCCTTGCCTCTTGTGAGGGGGGGAAACGGGAGTAGGGAAACTGACACTTTGTAGTAGGGGGGAATAGGAAGGGGTAGTCCCCTTTTCCCCCTTTATTATGAAAAGGAGAA